TTCATCATCATGAATTGTTCATTTAAATCTCAGACCAAACCCCAAGAAGATCCATGGCTCTACTGTGATGGAAACTACCAGCTGCCACTGGAATTACATTGACATTCCTTACTAGGCTTGGGCGGTTTCGTTCGTTAATTTCGTAATTCGTTATTAATTTGTATTTAAATTAGCTTACGATCCAATATTGAGCCATGCAGGAATAGTGTGAGGAGTAAATTAGATTCGAAACAATTTTTTCAATTTATTTCGTAATTATTTCGTAATTATTTCGTAATTATTTCGAAATTATTTCGTAGTTATTTTCGCATGTCTGGTGCAAGTTTTATAGTTGTTGTTTGTTTTATCACACCAACAGTCAACAACAGAGGGAGAGGGAAGCTTCAGAAGTTCCCCCTGTCCCATTTGGAGGTTTTTTTAGCATATTACGCAATCGCGTCCGCCATTAACAAATCGATTCGTAATTTTACGAAATTTTGAAATTTTGAAAAGCAAAATTTCGGAATTCTTAAAAAAAAACGAAACGCGATGGACCCCTAAAAACGAAGCGAGTTTAGAAACAATTTTTTCCGTTGTTACCCAGGCCTATTCCTTACCTTTATTCCTTCAATTTCTGACTAGGTGTGAATGATCTAGAAGGGTGAGCGTTTGTGGATTAAAATATACTAAATGTAGGATGAAAATAAATCTGGCGTATTTGTTCATTAGGTAGGGATAAGAATAGTTTTTCATCACAATTTAAAAGGATATGGAAAATTAAAATGTGGGTGGAAGTGAAGCAAGCCAGCACAACCACTTGTAGCACCGGGATTGTGGCGCAGCTGGCTGAGTATCAGCTAATTAAGATCACTCTGACCAAAAGGTCATGAGTTCGAAGCCAGCCTGGGTTGGAGTGGGTTTCCAACCAATTCGTGTAGCCTGTTGTCGACCTTTGCAACCCGAAAGACAGTTGCATCTGTCAAGTAGGAAAATTAGGTACCACCTTAAAGTGTGGGGAGGCTAAATTAACTGATTTATGAGGCCATAAAGAAGACTCCAGCAAAGCATTCCAGCGGGGAAGCATGCGGGGAATGCGGAAGTGTTTCATCAGCGTCGCAGATGGACGATGAAAGCGACAGCTCCCCTGGTGGCCAGAAAAAGTTAAATAGCCTCTGTGTATGTCTGTATATGTTTGTATGTCAAAAATTGGCATTGAATGTTTGCCATATATGTGTACACTGTAATCCGCCCTGAGTCCCCTGCGGGGTGAGAAGGCGGAATATAAAAGCTGTAAATAAATAAATAAATAAATAAATAAATTGTGGTGCCAAGAATTTTTTTTACTACTGTATTAATAAAAACTAATAAAAATTATAACCACATATGGACCCACAAGAATATGGGAAGACAATCCTCCCCGGGATCGCCTAAGTAAGTAAGTAAGTAAGTAAGTAAATATTAAGAACCATTGAAATTTAAGGACTTACCTGAGACCAGATATACATAAGACCACACTATTAATGTTCAGCATGAATGTATTAACATAAGGTACACAGAATAATGAAACTGCCTCAGAAGAAAACAAAATATAATAATAAGCAATAGCCAGGGCAAATAAAATTGGAAATAGCAAGAGTAAATAAAGAAAAAGACTCCTAGAAGAACATGTTCTAACAATATGATTCAAATATTTCAATGAAAAGGGAAATTGCTAGAAATGAGAGGTGATGTTATATATTTACAAAAATAAGTAATTGTAGCAGTTGCCGCTTGTCATTTTATGCAGATTTCATATATAAAGAAGAATGAAATATTCTTTCTCCCCACAAGAGGGCAACCATATCAATCCCATGGATTTCAAATTGTTTTCTCCAAGGCTAGATACTTCTCATTGTTTTGACATCTTCCACAAAAATGGTAAATATTTTGAGCAATTAACATATTATGTCGCTGTTATCCATGTATAAATAAAACAGTATTTCAAACGTGGAAACAATTATGACTTTTTATGGACATTTAACCATATCAAGGGCTCAAAAAAGGAAAGGCACACATCTTGGTCATTGGCAACACAAGGAATACTCTACTTAGGCAGAAAAAAAACAAAATGAAAAGATACAGAATGGGGGACAATTCTTGGCTTGAGAGCAGTACGTGTGAAAAAGATCTTGGAGTCCTCGTGGATAAGAAGTTAAACATGAGCCAACAATGTGAAGTGGCGGCAAAAAAAGCCAATGGGATTTTGGCCTGCATCAATAGGAGCATAGTGTCTAGATCTAGGGATAATGCTACCCCTCTATTCTGCCTTGGTTAGACCACACCTGGAATATTTTGTCCAATTCTGGGCACCACAATTCAAGAGGATATTGACAAGCTGGAATGTGTCCAGAGGAGGGCGACTAAAATGATCAAGGGTCTGGAGAACAAGCCCTATGAGGAGCGGCTTAAGGAGCTGGGCATGTTTAGCCTGAAGAAGAGAAGGCTGAGAGGAGATATGATAGCCATGTATAAATATGTGAGAGGAAGCCACAGGGAGGAGGGAGCAAGCTTGTTTTCTGCTTCCCTGGAGACTAGGAGGGAACAATGGCTTCAAACTACAAGAGAGGAGATTCCATCTGAACATGAGGAAGAACTTGAGAGCCGTTCAGCAGTGGAATGCTCTGCCCCGGAGTGTGGTGGAGGCTCCTTCTTTGGAAGCTTTTAAACAGAGGCTGGATGGCCATCTGTCAGGGGTGATTTGAATGCAATATTCCTGCTTCTTGGCAGGGGGTTGGACTGGATGGCCCATGAGGTCTCTTCCAACTCTTTGAATCTATGATTCTATGAATATGTACTGTCAAGCTGGAAAAGGTTCTCAACATATTTGTACTTTGTGTAATAAATTATTCAGTGTGCCTTTCCTACCTTAAATTCAAGTTTAAGACTTTAACTGTCTTAAACACAACAAACACTGTCTTAAACTTTCTCTACAGGAAAAAAAGAGGAGAATGCTATAACTGTAGTATTACCCTGTGTACAAAGAAGAGGGAGAGGAGGAGGAGGAAATAATGTGACAAGGGAATGAGTTGTCCCTTTAATTTGCATATCATTGTCATACACACGGCAAATTCTAGATTACATTTGTTGGGCACAGAAAACCTGCTCTGAGTGAGAATATTCCTATCATGACATTATTATCTTCCCCAAAATAAGTGATGTCTTTTAAAAATAATACTTGATACATGGATGAAGAAAGCATAACTATTTGGGTGCAATCAATCTGAAATGGTCAATCGCCCTGCTATTGGATTACAAGCAGTTCCCAAGTTACAAACATCTGATTTATATATGTCTCCTAGTTACAAACAGGCGTGAGACAACAGGAAGAAGAAGAGAAATTCACTCCTGAAAGAGTTATCATGGGGAAAAGGCTCTCCACTGAAGATTTTTCACCAATTTATGCTCACGCTCCCTGCTCACGCTACCACCACCATCGCAAGCGCGATTGGTAGGGACGAGGGAGAGGGCCTTCTCGGTGGTGGCCCCTCGACTCTGGAACTCACTCCCCAGGGATATTAGACAAGCCCCAACTCTGCCAGTCTTTAGGAGGATGCAACAATATCGGTTTCAATAGCAAAGAACAATTCAACACAATAATAATTCCACAATTATTTTAGTCTTGCTAGTTGTAATAATTGTGGAATTATTATTGTTTTGAATTGTTCTTTGCTATTGAAGCCGATATTGTTGCATTGTTACATAGATATCTGTGCATTATAGATAGTCTTTAGGAGGAGCCTGAAAACGTGGCTGTTTCAGTGTGCCTTCCCAGAATAAGGAACTCCCAGCAATATGTCCTCAAACGCACTTTAATAATGATTTTGGATTGTCTGCACATTCTTCCCTCTTCAAAACCTTTATTCCAATTACATGCTACCTGTTCATGCCCAGCATTATTTTTTTAAAATTTTTAATTATTGCATTTGGCCCAGCTGTTGGTTTTTAAATGCGTTGTGTTATTGTTTTTGCTTATTTTGCTATGAGTTTTGTATTGTTTTTGTATTATTGCTGTTATTGTTATTGTTGTGTTGTGGGCTCAGCCTCATGTAAGCCGCACCGAGTCCCTCGGGAGATGGTAGCGGGGTACAAATAAAGTCTTATTATTATTATTATTATTATTATTATTATTATTATTATTATTATTAATCATTGTTTCCATGATAAATTCATTGCCCGACTTACCGGGCAAGGCCTGTTGCGGTGGGGGGTGCCCTCCCTCTGGCCATGTGGTTAGCAGGGGCTTCTCTTTCCCAAAAGCCCCTGCGTTGCTGGAAGTTTCCCGCCACTGGATCAGCTGGCCAGTCAGAGGCCAGCTCCACCCAGCTTCTGGCATTGGCCAGGGGCTGGTTGCACCCTGTGCCCAGCAGCCTTAAATAGGCTGCGCTGGGGCCCAGCAGGCACCAGACCTGCTTCGAATTGTCATTGTTGCAGTTGTTGTTCATTATCTGTTCGTCACAACTTTGGTTGGCATGTGGCATGGGCCCTGGATCTGGTTCTGCCCCTCCCCTATTGGCGGGGAGGGAGCATCCGGCGGTTTCCAGGGGTGCCGCGTCATGTGGCCCGGTATTGTGCCGGTGGGCCCCCTGTTGGACTCATCAGGTATCGGTCAGCAGCGGGCTGATCGATCTTGATCCAGAACCCATGCCTAGCAGCCAACCCTGTGTTCCTGTAATTAATAAATTAAGTTGTGGCCATTTTTACTCCATCTACGTGTCTGTGTCATCTCTGGTTCTGTGGGAAGGAGGGGTGTTGCCCATCCACACGCAATTTAGATATTTCAAAATTCAATTGTCCCAAGGACAGAAAGTAAGATGAAGTCTTCCGAGCAGAGGCTTAGATAGTAACACAAATCTTACAGAGGTGTTAACCCTTCCTTATACTATCCCAAACTATTTTTTTTGTTGGAATTAACTTTGTATGTAAGTCAGAATGTGCCTGTTCTGACTTACATACAAAGTTAATTCCAACAAAAAAGAATGTGCCTGTTCTGACTTACATACAAATTCAACTTAAGAACAAGCCTACAGAACCTATCTTGTTTGTAGCCTGTGGACTGCCTGTAATCACTATTAAATCTAATTCCACTGATTTCAATGAAAGATAGTCATGGTTCACTTTTACTACATTGAATGATATTTTCTATTTGTTTTGGACAAGTAGAACTTATTTATAATAAGAACATATTTAGAAGTTCATCGTTTCTGCTCTTAGCTGTTGCTATCACCATATATTCAAAGTAATTTCTGCATTGATAAAATTAGAAACATGCTGTTTAGAAATGAAGATAGGGATTTGAAGGAGACCAGGGAAGATCACATCAACACATTAAAAATCTGCAAGACCTTTGAGAAATATAACAATGAAACTATACAATACATTGTTGCTTTGCTTATCAAATTATTAGCATCTGAGTTCAATTAAATATTCCCACAGCACTCTAGAATATACAGCACAAGCATAGTCTATGCTTGACTACTTGGTCTAAAGATTGGATAGGATGATTGCCAGGTTGTTCTTAAATGGAAAACTTATATAATTAGATTTGAGCCTTAAGCAACTTTTAAAAAAACAAATGTCAAGTCTATAACTTACTAAAACACTTCTGTTCATTTCCAGTCTCAACGTTTCATATATATATACATATATAAACTTGTATTAATGACCAAATTCCCTTTCCTTAGGTCCAAACAAAAACAAATGCTCTCTTGAATGATTGAGGATTTCTCCCCCTATCAAGAGTCAGAGGTTTGCCTGGGAACACGGTAATGCTCGGGCTTGATGCGTGCTTTCTTCTCTTGAGGATTGGCATACTTCCACTTGGATGGAGACATCTTCAATTTTTTCCTTTTCTTGTCTGTGCACCACACTTTTTCACAGTATTCCTCTACTCTCTGGAAATTGCTATAACCTATGAGTTGCAGGAATTCTTTGTACCATGGCCTTGAGCCATGGGGAATGCTACTTTGTGCAGGACACGGCATCTTATGAGAGACATGATCCTCCTCATAGTCTTTGTTGAACATGTCATCTACACGTTCCTCTTCCACAACCTCAAGGGTGATTTTTCTCACTGTATGGATGATACTATGTTCCACTGTCTGGCAAAAATATGTTCCAGCATCCATCCTGTGCAGCCGTAAAAATAACAGGCCAAGGTCCACTTTGAGTACGCGGTCATCAGTCTTCACCTACATATATGACAAAGATGAAACTGTATCATAGTGAAAATAAAGGAAGAATACAATAAAACTGTAAAATCCCCCTCCCATCCTCACATACACGGTCCACGCTCTTGTTACATCCCGGATAGATTACTGCAACGCACTCTACATGGGGTTGCCTTTGAAGACTGTTCGGAAACTTCAATTAGTCCAACGGGCGGTGGCCAGATTACTCACCGGAGCGTCATACAGGGAGCATACCACCCCTCTGTTATGTCAGCTCCACTGGCTGCCGATCCAGTTCCGAGCACAATTCAAAGTGCTGGTTTTGACCTACAAAACCCTATACGGCTCCAGCCCAGCGTATATGTCTGAACGCATCTCCCTCTACGTCCCACCTCGGAGTTTAAGATCCTCTGGGAAGGCCCTGCTCTCGGCCCCGCCTCTATCACAAGTGAGATTGGCGGGGACGAGGAGCAGGGCCTTCTTGGTGGTGGCCCCTCACCTATGGAATTCACTCCCCGGGGAAATTAGATCATCGCCATCCCTCCTTTCCTTTAGAAGGAAATTAAAAACATGGATTTGGGACCAGGCATTTGGGCAATCTGGCAGATAAATAAAGGACAACGACGACTGATAGGAATGGAAAATGTGGAATGAAGTTATGGACTCTGAGTTGCGAACGTTGAGCATAAGATTGGTTTTTTATTGACTGTGATATATATTGATTGTTTTAACTGTTAAAACTGTTTTAATTGCTATTTTATCTGTATTACTGTGTAGGCATCGAATTGTGCCTTTTTGTAAGCTGCCTGAGTCCCCCCTCGGGGGTTGAGAAGGGCGGGGTAGAAGTACATGAAATAAATAAATAAATAAAATACACACCTAAAACATTTACAGTGACCAATGAGTGATAGTGGGTGTGCTGGTACGCTGTACCAGGAGCTCCAAATTTATTTGCTTTGTATTAAATCTTTGCTTGCAGTACTGGGTTTCAGGGACTCTGCAGATAGGTGGCTTCCTTTGGTTGCAGTCGTAGGGCAAGTCACCTGTCCATCATCGTTAAGTTTTGGTTCCGCCCCTTGCTCAGGGCAATTGGGAAGGGAGCCATTTTTAGTTAGTCTCAGCAAGGAAAGCTAATGTACAGGACGTGTGCAAGCTTCCCCTGTACAAAAGCTTCAACCCTTAAGACTTTCCGGGGGGAAACAGTCTTAAGAGTCTCCAAAGATTTCCAGGGAAACAGCCCTAAAGACCAAAGAACTCCAGCTGGAGAATATCTAAGCCTTTACTGGTAGGTCCACTCGGTGCTTCGAGACGCAGTTCGACCCGGTAGCGGAGCCCACATCAGTAAGGGTTAGATTACAGTCAGCCTGGGAGAAGTTAAAAAGGGATTTTCCATTTAAAGTAAAGAAGAAGTTATTGAAGACAGTTGCCTGTCCTATGTGGGCAAGTTTAGGAAGCCACCAGTTGCATAAAAGCTTTGAAGCATTTGGTTAACTTTATTGAAGACAAGAAAAGTTTCTGTTTGATTGTTCATTAATAAAGGACTTTGTTATACTTCACAAGCCATCTAAAGGTCATTTGTGGTGGAAAACCTCTGAGAACTTCTCCTTGGGCCCCCTGGCTTCCCGCTGAGCAAAGGTTGCACGTCCTGTTCTAAAGCTCACTCTACTCTATACCTAGTAGCAGTGAGTCCCTCTGACACACCAATCCTGGCTGTCCCCAGAGTATCTAACTTCTCTCTTCACAGAGATCCCTAATAGCTAAGATACCCTGTCCCCTAGAGAGTAAAAACAACTTGTGTGCTAACACTCACACAAGTCCACAGGTGGCTATCTGGACCCTCCAGGTCAATCCCTATAGACACACCTGCCTCCAGACGCTCTCTCACGGGAAAACTTGAGCTCACTAGAAATCTACCCGCTTCTCTTCAGATCAAAATCCAATCTCCCTCTCTGTCAGAAGCTGCCTGCCTTTTTACACTAACAGCTCCAGCTCCTCCCATCTGTCCTAGCCAATCCTGGGATAGCTGAGCTCCTCCCCTCTGCTAATCTGCCTCTCCTAAGATGTCTGCTTCGCTGTACTACCTTCCTAACATGGAGGCCAGCTTACTGACTTCTAGGCTTTAGCGTATCAAGGTACGAGTCATGACAATGACTCTTCCAGGAGTGAATTTCCCATCCTAAGGGTAGATTTCTCTGATTTCCTGTTGTCTCACCCTCATTCTTAACCATGAGTCATTTGTAAATTAGAAGTTCCTAATTCGGGGACTGCCTGTATTATATAGTGATAAGTGGATGCCCCAGAAAGCTCTGAAAAGTGCAATGTATCAACTAGTATCTGAGGGGAGAAAATATAAATATTTCAAATGTTATTAAACACATTTAGTTTCAATTATCTTGGTCCAGAATCCAGCCAAACAATAAGCACTTTAGGGTGTCAGTAATTGAATTAATTAAATAAATAATTAAAGAGAACTAAATTTAGTTGGAGTTAAGCTTTCTATTGAAAGTACTGTATATATTCGAGTATAAGCCGATCTGAATACAAGCCGAGGCACCTAATTTTACCTCAAAAAACTGGGAGAACGTATTGACTTGAGTATAAGCCGAGGGTGGGAAATACAGCAGCTACTGGTAATGACAAAATTAACCACATGACAACTGAGCATAAGATATACAATATACAGGTAAATGGGAAGTAATGGGAAAAATAGGAGCAGTTCTGAAAAATGATGTCTCATGCATCATCATCCACAAAAGTCAAAAGTATAAATGTAGAAGAATGAATATATTGTTTAGTGAGAAAGTACCTCTTCTTTTCGAGTTTCATGAGCTCTCTGGACAAACCAGATCACTTTGGCTTGCAAGGTTCTGGGGATGCATTCAAGCAGAGTGCTATTGTATTCGATTCCATACACCAGTCGCTCTTCAGTCTTATCCAGGACATCCCCTGTAAGAGCAAACACAGGCACACAAGCTTAACTCAGTCATACTGAGCCTTCTCGTGATCGCTAGCAAAATCTTTGGCTCTCATGGTTTGTATGCAAAGAAACTTCATAATAAGAATTAAATGTATCAGTTGTTGCTGGACTAGTTCACTATCTTTGGTTGCAATTGGCACTAGACTAGTTCAACACCAATTGACATAGGCCAGAGTCCCCAATCTAAGGCCCACAGGATGGATGCGGCCCTCTAAGGACTTTTACTTGGTCCCTGCCCTAAATGTTAGACTTAGGTTTACTCTAAGCCTGAAACAACTTGAAGGCATACAACATCAAGAACAACAATCTTAATTAACTTGACTATCTCATCAGCCAAAACAAGACCCACCCTTCCCATTGAAATACTGGTACGGTTATGTTAGTTAAAATTATTCTTAATTTTGAATATTATATTGTTCTTTCTTAGGGTTTTTTGCACTACAAATAAGATATATGCTGTGTCCATAAGAATTTGATCATTTTTTTTCAAATTATAATCTGGTCCCCCAACAGCCTAAGGCAGGGGTCCTTAAACGCAGGCCCGAGGGCCAGCTACGGCCCTCCAATATCATTTACCCGGCTCTCGCTCAGGGTCAACCTAAGTCTGAAATGACTTGAAAGCACACAACAACAACAACAACAACAACAACAACAACAACAATCCTATCTCATCAGCCAAAAGCTGGCCCACACTTACCACTGAAATACTAATAAGTTTATATTTTTCAAATATTGTTCTTCATTTTAATTATTGTATTGTTTTAAAGTGTTTTATTGCATTACAAATAAGATATGTGCAGTGTGCATAGGAATTCATTCATGCTTTTTTCAAATTATAATCCGGCCCTCCAACAGTTTGAGGAACTGTGACCTGGCCCTCTGTTAAAAAAGTTTGAGGACCCCTGGCCTAAGGGATCATGAACTGGCCCTCTGCTTAAAAAGTTTGAGGACCAGGGCATAGGCAATAGTGGCAAAAGAATAAATTGACATCGTGCATGAACCAGAAAGTAAGCCAGGCACTGGAGAAAAAGATTACTGGGGAGTGGCCCTTTATGGTCCTGGAAAAAGTACAGTTATTCATATATTGTAGGCTTGAGTGCAGATCACTTTTTAGCCCTTTCCTTTGGTTTCTTCAGAAGTCTGTAACAGCATGGGCCCGGCCATCATGGTTTCCTGTCCATAACGGTTTCACACGGCAGCCTATTGTGGCTCCACCTCCCCTATTCTGCACCACAGTTTAATCTTTTTGGGTCCTTCATTGCATTACAAAGTATATCACATGAATCAGGCAAACCACTATTGAAGCAGGACTGCAGCCTAATCGCATAATGACATGTCCATCACATTTGTCTCCTCTCCATGGTTAATCTGTTCCATGCTATTGACAGGAAAAACTTGACAACATTTCCCCATTCTGCTATATTTCCAGCACCCCTGAATGTTTCTGTTAGAAATGTATTTATACAAAAACAATGCCTTGAGTTAGCACATAGCCATTATATCTCAAATCACCAACCATTCATAAAGTGACACTCTTTTTGATACTATATTGACATATGTACACCATTCACACAGAAACAAATATAATGGCTTAACATTTTAATATAAAGTATGAGAGTTACCAAGAAACTGTTGGCCAAAGCACTGCTGAGCTGCATTTCCATGACGGACATCTTGTCTTCGAAAACGTCTGGGGGGGAAAAATTAAAAGTTTAGATCCACAAGTTGTGTTTTGACAAACTCAGAAGCCTTACCAAGGCTTATGGCAAACGTTTATGTTCAAGTTACTTTTACTTGATGCAACTGAAAATTTTGTCATAGAAGTTGTCAGGGTGAGAAGGAGCTAGACCAGTGGTTCTCAACCTGGGCTCCCCAGATGTTTTTGGCCTACAACTACCAGAAATCCCAGCCAGTTTACCAGCTGTTAGGATTTCTGGGAGTTGTAGGCCATAAACATCTGGGGACCCCAGGTTGAGAACCACTGAGCTAGACTTTTATTTATAGTGACTCATTGACGTTCATTTTTAGAATTTAAAGTGGCAACAAAAAGGCATCACTTATGGATACAAAGAATACTTTTGAGTGCTGAGAAACTCAAATGAAGAGAATCCAGACTTGTCCAATGAGCTTGTCCATGAAAGACATGGTAGCAACACACAAAAAGGAAATATACATGCACTCTTTTTCAGTGGAGTTCAAAACAAAAAAAAAATAAGCTTGTGGCATTGTATCAAACAGTCCTTCAGAGTAACAGAACTCACCTAGTCTTTGTATACAATCATACCAACACAAAGGGTATGGCTTTTCCATCTTCCATATTGAGTGAGGGAGAGCAAGCCTGTATCCCAATAAGGAAATGGTTTTAAATTATCTCTGGCACCCACAGTACGAGCTTGCATCATATGATGAGCTCTATCGGTTGCAGTTTCTTAAATGTGTAGAAATGTTGATTTTATTGTGTGTGATGAAGTCATACAATAGGTAAGATTCAATTTAATGATATAGCATTGAATACCAAAGCCAGAATCATCAATGCCATATTATTTCCAGTTTTCTATTAATGGAAGTGGAGCTGGAGTATGACAAAAGTTGTATGGGGGTGGGTTGGAGGATCAACTCATTTGAAATACTGTTTGACTCACTTGAACAGGATATTAATAGTGGGGTCTCTTGGAGGTTTGTTATTCATAGGGTTGCCATAAGTCAGAACTGCCTTGACAGAACATAAGAATGGAGATGACAAACATTTAAGCAAAGTAATTGTTTTAGTAGATCATTTTCAAAAGCAAACCTTTGAAAGATTAGTAACTTATCTAATCTTCCACTCATTCCTACAGTTTATTCATTATTATTTTTTTGGAATATCACAACAGGTAAAGTAGGTCTAGAAAATATTCTGAGGATACTATATATCTGTTTTCCTCCAGGTGTACTAGTACTTGGTCCTCTGTCTCTAGCTTTGAAGGCAGATCAGCTTGCACAGTTTTCCTATCATGGTATTTTCCAGGCTGCAAAGAATATTTGGTTTTGAGTTTTTATTCTTTTACAGTTAGTCATGATTCAATGCCTACAGATATTTCAGGGGATCCAGTGTTTTTCTTTTGTGAACAGACACACTTTAAAAATTTATACATTGTACTTTTACTGAAAGATGTTTAAAAGAAAAAAGGAAAAGAAAAACAATGCAGAACTTTTGACCATGCAATTTCTTAAGGAATATCCGTATCTTTAGATGTTTAATACAGGTCTCTATTTTTGCATGTGGTGGTCCTCTTGGGAGGCTCAAAAATACTGGAAAGCTATACATGAAGAAATTTTTAAAAATACGTAGAATGTCATTCCCAAGTAAACCAGAATTGAGCAGGGTATTAATAGGCCTCAGGGATTCAGATATAGCATTGGATCACAATGACATTCTCTTTACTTATGACAACAGCGGCGAGAATCTCCTATGCAAAACTTTGGAAATTGGACAAGACACCAGAGGTTGATGATTGGCTAAGTAAATTAAGAGAAACTAGAGACATGGATAAACTAACTTTCTTTTTGAAGGACTGATTGGAACCTTGTTGAGGAATACAAAAAGGAAAAAGGATTATAAAGACTTTATTAAAATATGGACTCTTCTCAAAAATAATTACAAACATATATGGATATTTGAATTTAGTAACATAAGAAAATGAGAATCACAGCGGCATAGAATGGAAGTCAATGGGACTATTTGTTTTTTTCTTTTTTCTTTATTTCTCTTTCTCTCTCTTACTACTTTTTGTTTCCTACTTTACTATAGTTCTAATGTTCTCCTGCTTTTCCCTCTGTGGATAATAAAAATCTATTTTTTTAAATATATATATATATAGTTCTCTCATCCAATTCATTTATAATTATAGAATTGGAAGGGACCTTCTGAACTATCTAGGGGTGCATCTGCACTGTAGGATTAATGTAGTTCAATATGTTAGTCTGTTGTAGTAGAGTGTGCTGGTCAAGCTACAACTGGTAGTAGAAGGGGTAAGAGGGCTGCTCAGGTGTTGGAACAAGAGCAGCAAAGGAAACGAATTAGGGAGATATTCATGACACCTACAGATACTGATTCATTCGAAGGTTTCTCAGATTCTGAAATGGAGGAGGAGGGAGACGGGAGTAGAGGTTTGAAGCAGGTTACTCGGGAGCAAGAGTCAGATGAAGAATGGGAAAGGAAGTGGATCCGTGAAATACTTAATGCTCCAACTGAGGAGGAAGACTTTATGGGATTCACGGGGAGTGATGGGACTGGGAGTGATAATGAAGAGGAGGATGGGCTGGATTGGACCCGTGTGCAAGAGATCAGGGACATATGTACACAACCAACATCTAGTGATGAGTTTGAAGGGTTTTCGGGAGACTGGCAACCTGGTAATACATGGGATGATCTAAGTCTTGATAGACACTGGAAAAGTTGGAGGGACGGGCGGTGGCGAGCAGCTGTGGAAGCTAAGGCAACTGAGAGTGATGAAGACAGGGTGGAGAGCAGTTCACCATCTGATAATGAGTAATAGGATAAAAGAAGGTATCAAACATTGGGGACTTTGCAGTAGGCAAAGTGTTGTATTCATGCTTGGGACTTTGTTGCTGCCTTTACTCTTGACTTGGGTCCTGGGACTGCAGATTGCTGTGTTACCATACTTCTACAGACTGGAATATCGTAAGTGCTGACTTCTACTCCCGTTTTGACTTCGGATTGCTTTTGGACGATGACATCGCTTCCTGGACTTTATCATCTGCTTTTGGATGTATTTTGACTTGGGACTGTTTTTTGACAACGATTTTGCTTGCTTCCACCTTGTTTCCTTATGCTTATTGAACTCTGATTTTGAAGCAGTTTTTGTTATCCCAGATTATATTCCAGTATAATCCGGATTATCCGCTAAATTACGTTTTTCGCACAGCAGTTGCTGCAGACTTTTAGTTATTACTAGGAACACTGAATTAAGTGTTTCTAAGCTATTTTTTTGTGTTAATATACTCTGTTTGGACCTTATACTTTGTGTCTGGCTCCTTTAAGGCATCTGGTTCATGACATAGTCCTATGTAATACCTTGGATCCTCCACTATGATTGCAGGTATTTGGGAAGGTAAACATCTGCTATTGCAGGAGATATTTTCTGATTCTGTAAGAACGTAAACCACCTTAGTTCCATCCAGTAGTGAACTATACAGTTTTCTATGCAAAGTAGGTTGCTCACCTCTTTGCCTGTGTTCCTGTTGGGTAGTATCTGGAACAGGATATGCCATCCCAAGCACAGTAAGGATCTCTTGCTAGGCAACAGTCAGCACAGGCTGTCCCATACATATCACACTGGTGGAACTTTAACTGGGCAACAGCAGATTCAGAGCCAACATAAATTTGTTGCTGTAGGGAAAAAAAACACACAAATGAATATCCCAAACCATGTTGAAGCAAATTTTCCTATGTATCTTGTTACCCCTCACATATAGCCCACCACTTCCAACATAGTGAAAAAATTATATGAGAACTTAGTTCTGTTACTATGCTAATGTGTGAATACTGAATTTATCATTTCCTGGAAACACACCTCAGTGGTGAAAAGCATTCGGCAGAAAGGAGTGCATACAATTTAATTTCCCATATATTTGGAATGTGCACATCAAATATTTCTATTTAAAGAACAGATACACAAAAGTGCAGGTGCACACAAATGTCAATGGCAATACATACAGCATTTCTGGAGGCAGTTTGCTAGCTGATGCACATCTAAGTCTGAATAAACTCAGTGGTGGAAAAAAAAGAGGATTTTGATGATATTAAGCTTGACAGGCTCAACCATCCAAAAGTAGCAAACAGGATACTCTCTCTCATATATATGAGAGAGAGTATCCTGTTTGCTACTTTTAGATGGTTGACAACTCAAAGCATTTTATGACATGGTAGAGTAACTTTGCTCACTTAACAAACTTAACAAACCAACATTGCTTTCCTCAGCTGGCATGTCAGCTATAAAACTGGTGGGTGGTGGGTGGATATAATGGAGAGTTGGTGGTCAATTTTAACAATAAGTTTGAGATTCTATCTGTCTTCCTGAAGATTTTGGGAAGCTAGCAATTATGAATATCCATCCTGATATTTGGAAATAAATCAAAATATTAAAAATGCTAACAAAGCACCAGTGACTGTCATCTCCAAAGATAAGAAAATGGCTACTCAAAACAGAGAAAAGAAAAATTAGTAATGTGTAATGCTATTACTTTTACTATACTGTTTTTTTTTTTTGGTCGTGTCAGGAGTGACTTGAGAAACTGTAAGTCTCTTCGTGTCTCTTCTCTCAAACTAGAAGCAACTTGCAGTTTCTCAGGTCGCTCCTGACATGGCAAAAAAAAAATATTCTGGTGTGAGAGAGTTGGCCATCTGCAAGGACATTGCCCAGGGGATGCCCAGATGATTTTGATGTTTTTATCATCCTTGTGGGAGGCTTCTCTCATGTCCCTGCATGAGGAGCTGGAGCTGATAGAGGGAGCTCATCCGCCTCTCCCCGATTCGAACCTGCGACCTGTCAGTCTTCAGTCCTGCCGGCACAGGGGTTTAACCCACTGCACCACCGGGGGCTCCATACTATATTGGTTCCAAGCTATGAATAAGTTCAGGGTCCCTGGAATTTTTCAGACTTCACTAAATGTAGGGTGAGCATAGCAGTAAATCAGACAATCAATAGACTCTCCCCATTTTGCTTAAAAGTACTTTAAACTTTCATGATTCTTCAGTGAGTCAGGTTCCAGTCATCAACAACTGCATTTTCATGAAGTCACAATTTTACTTTTGGAACGGTTGGAACAGTTGCTTGTTTACTTTGCGGTTGATGACAATTTGGGTCAGAACATTTGAAAGACCATGAAACCAGCAGTGTGTTAAGGATACTGTATTTGAATATTTCATTGGGAAGTGCTACACAAGCGTGTGCTGTTATTTAAAATTCCAAACATCACTCAATGAATACTCATTTTGTATGGCATATTTAACTGTAATACATATTTAGCAGAAATCTTTATGGCATGCTCACATTTTGTGCAATGAAGGAGGAAAAACATTAGGCATAATTACACCAGAAAAACACTGGAAGTGCTAAGGCAAAATATGGGAAATGCTCCCTAGGAAGACTATATAAGATTTGCTTAGACCCTGATTTAATTTGTGGACATGACATTATTTTTAATAATAGTAAAGGCAAAGGTTTATCCCTGATGTTAAGTCTAGTCGTGTCTGACTCTGGGGGTTGGTGCTCATTTCCATTTCTAAGCTGAAGAGCCAGCATTGTCCGTAGACACCTCCAAGGTCATGTGGCCAGCATGACTGCATGGAGCACCGTTACCTTCCCGCCAGAGCAGTACCTATTAATCTACCCACATTTGCATGTTTTCGAACTGCTAGGTTGGCAGAAACTGGGGCTGACAGCGGAAGTTCACGCCGCTCCCCGGATTCAAACCTGTGACCTTTCGGTCAACAAGTTTAGCAGCTCAGTGGTTTAACCCACTGTGCCACCGAGGGCTCCTTATTATTATTTTTAATAAAATAAGCAAATAAAATAAAATAAGCAAATATGTTCAGGTTCACATCTAGAAACATGTATATGATTGTCCACAGTGTGCATAAGGCTTTGGCAAAAGATTCTAATCTCAAAAAATATTTGGAGTCTTAAGTGCCAAAAATGCAAGTTTCTTGCCTTTAGAAGCTGCCTGATCAACATTCAACAGACATGTTTCTCCATATGTATTGTTTAGCCAATTCAAAAAGTGTGGGTTCTCCTTGATATTATTGTGAAAGAAATACAGTGGAAGCATAGAGCATAGGACCTTGTACAAGAACCCTAGCACAAAGGTAAAATAAAGGGGGGAAACACTTTGCTGCTTCCATTATCATGGATAGTGTGGATGTTTTTGATGCTGTATTAGAGCCCAGCCAGGAACAGCAACTCTTTCAACCAAACCTAAAAGCAACAACTATTCACCCTGAACAACACTCACCCTTTTGGAAGAAATTTCCATGGATATAACAGGAACCGGCACCTAGATAGAAATATTTTTTTTAACTTAGGAACTAGGTCACATGTGTAAAACATATAAATACTTGAATATAAGTAGGTTGAGGGTGGGGAACCTAAAGGGTCACTTGCGTTTGCATAGCAAATACTGTTCCATTTGCACTCATACAAAATACTGCTATCTTGATTCTTAAAGTTTCTGATCAGCTATTTACTGGACAGCAAGCAGCTTCATTTGGCAAAGGAACAGGATATAATCCTTTCCTTCCATTCCAATGAATTTCAGGAATGTATGATGGAGCTGCTCCACTTGGACATCTATACATGTGTTTGCCACATGCATGCACTCTCCCTCTTACACAGTTATTTTTTAGAACAATAAATACCAGGAATTGGATGGGTGTGCATATAAGCCTCCATGGGACATGCCTATTTTGTACTTTGGTTTAGCTCTGTAGTCAAAGAGAGAAGAGGGGAAGTTTAATTTTTCCCTGTTATACAAAACCTGCCTCTGCTATGCAAGAATAATAAATAAGCAGCCATAGTTTAAAGCATATTTGACATAGCTTATACCCACTTCTTTCATTCACTAAAGTAAACTTTATTTAAAAGTTGCTTTAAAGAGAGTAGGGTCCAGGAATGTAATTTACTTATTTCATTCTAAAAGAAAATGGGGAGTCATTTTATTCCTGCTTTTTTTTTGAAAAGTGTACAGTTCTATAAGATTATTTTTGCAGAAATTTCACACTGCGGAAGACAACAGGTTCTGTGCAGGAATTTTCTCCCCAACAAAACTAAATGTGAATTTTTGTAGCGTTTAAATCCCAAACTGTGAAGGTGCTCATCAATGCAAGTTTTGCTTCATCCTCAAGACAAGCTTAATTTTCCCCCTTTTCGAGTGATGGCCATCATGCATGGAGTACATTGATCAAGTCTCCGATAGATCCCCCCTCCTATGTGGGGTCCCCCAAGGTGCAATTCTCTCTCCTCTCCTCTTCAACATCTACGTTAGACCCCTTGCTAGTTTGGCTCGGAGTTTCGGCCTGGACTGCTACCAATATGCAGACGATACCCAACTCCTTCTGCGCCTGGAGCCTGGAGCAATGTCAATTCCAGACAATTTCACCCTATGTCTGGAAGCTCTGTTGAACTGGCTACGTGCTAGCAGACTGAAGGTGAACCCGGTGAAGACTGAGATTCTCTGGCATGGCCGCCCGGCAGGTCTGACTCATCCGTTACCCACCTTCGATGGTGCCACCCTATCTCCATCGACCACTGTTAAGAGCTTAGGTGTCGTCCTGGATTCGCAGCTGACAATGGAAGCTCAGGTCACTGCTGCCAGCAAACAGGCCTTTTTCCATCTACGACAAGTGAGGCAACTGGCACCCTACCTATCTGACGAGGTTCTGCAAACTGTCATCCATGTCAAGGTCACGTCTAGGCTGGACTATTGCAATGCCCTGTATGTTGGCCTTCCGATGTCTACGACCCGAAAGCTCCGTATCGTTTAGAATGCGGCAGCCAGGTTACTCACAAGAACGCCCATGAAATGCCATATAACACCAGTGCTGCAACCTTTACATTGGCTTCCAACTGAGTACCGTGGCCTGTATAAGATGTTAGTTCTGACCTTTAAAATTCTTTACGGCCAGGGTCCATCCTACCTTAGGGACCACCTCGCCTTCTCCCATCATCGGAGGTCACAACGACCAGCCCAATGCAACTTACTCTATATACTGTGTCCTAGAGAATTGCACTTGGAAAGTACCAGACGCAGAGCTTTTTCTATTTCTGCACCTGCCTTATGGAATTCCTTGCCACCCTATATGAGAGCCATGTGTGACTTAGGGCCTTTTACTCTAGCACTTAAGACCTGGCTTTTTACTAGAGCATTCAATCTCTGTTAATTTTTAAATTCTGTATGTATATTTATCTTTTACAATTTAGCTGTAAATCGCCTAGAGCATTCTCGGATGGAGGGCAATTAATAAGTAATTAAATATGATGATGATGATGTTCTATGTCACTGTGGTAGTAAACGCATTATGGAATTTAACCGATCTTTAAGTGATTTATCAAAGGCAGAGAACCCTCCCTTTCATTGCTCATTCAAAATTCAAATTAAATCACAGACTAGATTTACTCCCTAATCCGCCTTGTGTCATCTCCACACTGAGAAAGGCGGTATACAAATAAGGTAAATAAATAAATAAATAAATAAGAAAGGCATCATTGCACTCTGTTTTATTTTGACATGTTTAATATGTATTTACTTTGGCTGTTGTATTTTATGATGCTCCTATTTTAATATGTTTTATTTTATGGATTGCTTTGCTTTTATGTTTTTATGGACAATTGTCCCACATGTAAGCCGCCCCGAGTCCCTCTGGGGAGATGGTGGTGGCGGATAAAAATAAAGTTATCATTGCCAGCTTTTTAAAAGAGTAGTCAGTGACATTATAGGTGCTCTATGTTGTCAGCTTATCCAAAATGCTGAAGTTTCTTAAGTCAGTGGTTCCCAACCTTTGGTTCTCCAAATTATTTTGACTTCAGTTCTCAATATTTCTGACAGTTGGGCAAGCTAGCTGAAACTTCTGGAAGTTGAAGTCCCAAAGACCTGGAGAACTAAAGGAGCCACTGCTTTAAATCATTGTCTTTCCTGTTGCCTATTACACTGTGGCTTTTTTAAAATGTAAGTTTAAAATTCAAAAGGATGTGAGAAATCTAGGAAAAAATCAGAGCAGAGGTGCAGGTGGTTTTCTCACATCAGCTTTCTACCAGCTCTCTACTAGAAGATTTAAGAGCCATATCTATGTTCTGTGCTTTAGACTCTTGTCAGCAACTTGGTTTCCATTATTTGGATGTTGGAAATGATAAATCCTCACATAGTTGTTGAGCTATGGGACTTGAAAACTATAGGAAATGAGGCTGTAAATCAATTGGACACAAGATAGTAAACTGGCAGACAACATTCATTATCTGTATGCAGGATTGACTGGGATCTCTGAAGAAACAAGACCAGCTAAGAATACTAATAAAACATGTGCTAAGTAGGAATTAGAAAAGTTCATTATGGATAATTATCAATGGAATATTTTTTTTAGGACTAGTGATAGATTTTAAAGAATCAAAACTCCTAATTTTAATTAGGAATTGTACTAGAATGGGAAGTTCCATACTGATGAGCAAATTATCACTTCTCAAATACAAGAAGCAATGCAAAGAAATTGCCTATTTATCATGGATGTATGTGAAAGTTGTCTGAGGTCATTAATTAATCTACATATTATCCAAATTAGGAATACATTGAAAATTGGCTTTCTTCAACTGTTTTTTAAATCATTTCCCTTATATTCAAGGTCTTGCAAAATACACTCATGGCTGTAAATTACACGTGCATTTAAGTCTGCATAAAAACAATTTTTCCAATTAATTTCAACATGGGTTGCTGTAAGTTTTTGGGGGCTGTATGGCCATGTTACAGAAGCAGTCTCTCCTGATGTTTCACCAGGCATTCTCAGAGGTTGTGAGGTCAGTTTTAACCTACCTCAAGTGCGTGCTATCTTGGTTGTTAGATGAATGTTAGAAAATAGATACCTCACTAACAATTTCATCACATTAGATAGGGAAGTGTGAGAGCAGAGTAAAGCTCAGTTTTACTCAGTTTTTTAATGAAACGGATGTTTTCCCTATCATCTATCATACTGTTAAGTCTGCTTTCAGTATTCTTTCACTGCAGTTGCCTTCACGCTGCAGGGATTTTGCACCACTCTCCATTCCTCTCCCTGCTCATTGTTGAAAACTGTTGGGAGAGAAAGCTCTCCCTCTCCCTCTCCCTCCCCCTCCCTTTCCTATCCTATTCCTATCCTATCCTATCCTATCCTATCCTATCCTATCCTATTCTATCCTATCCTATCCTATCCCCCCCCCTCTCTCTCTCAGCTGCCTCACAGAGAAGGGTGTGGACTTTGGAAAACTATAACTCCAATGACTGCATAGTATGAAACTATGGTATTTAAAGTGGGGTCCAACAGCATCCATTCCATACTGGAAATGAACCAAGAGAAGGGTATGGACCTTGGAAAACTATGATTCTCAAGATTGCACAGCATGGAGACATGGAATACTACTACTACTACTACTACTACTAATAATAATAATAATAATAATAATAATAATAAGAAGAAGAAGTGGTTTTGTATTGGATGTCTCTGTCAGCACCCCCTTTAGTCCATTAACTAAAGAGTTATAAGCATCAAAAACAACCTCAATATTACTTGTCTCCGACTGGATTTCTCTTTTAAGAAGGCCTACTTCTGGAGAGTCGATGATGCCCTTTAGGTGGGTTAGATTAACAAATTTCCATCTAAGTCTTTTATTATATTGTAATTCCAATGTCTGGCTCTCCTGATTGGTGCTAAGTGTGGGCCTTCTAAGGTCAGTCTGCAGGAGGCATCTCACTGTCACAGGTTGGTGATCGCTATCCAATCTGGGAATAACTTCCAAGGGCGTAAACGCTGGTTGGAGATCCCTGGAAACGCAAATGAAATCTATAGCACTACTGGCGTTTGCTGAATGGAAGGTGAATGGGTATATAAATTCCTCATTTAAGCCTCTAAGGATCGTGAGGTCGAATTTGTACAGTAGGGCCACCAATGAAACTCCTGCTTTGTTTCTTTGACTGTCACGGGACCTCCATCCAAAGTCGAACAAGCTTGCATCTGGGGGCATGTTGCTAGCTGATGCATTCTTCAGTTTGGAGTTACTCAGTCTCACGTTGAAATCACCCAGGATGATGGTCTGTGCTGCCGGGAACAGCATATTAATTTCCTCCAGCGCCCCTTCAAGAATTGACCGTATATCCCGTTTATCTGACTTGGATGTCGTAGGTTGTATGTAAACATTTAGGAGGATGATAGTTGGACTCCTTTTTGCCAAGGAGGCAGAAATATTTGTTAACTTGACTGTGAGGATGTTAATACAGTTTGTAGTGTGTGGACCTTGGAAAACTATAACTCCCAGGACTGCATAGTATGAAGCTATGGTATTTAAAGTGAGGTCCAAGTGCATCCATTCCATACTGGAAATGAACCAAGAGAAGGGTATGGACCTTGGAAAACTATGATTCTCAAGACTGCACAGCATGGAGACATGGAATAATAATAATAATAATAATAATAATAATAATAATAATAATAATAATAATATAATAATAATAATAATAATAATAATAATAATAATAATAATGGCATTTTAAATGGGTCCCAACTGCATTTATTCTCCAGTGCAGATGCATCCGGAGAAGGGTATGGACCTTGGGAAACTATAACTCCCAGGACCACATAGTATGGAGCTATGGTATTTAAAGTGGGGTCCAAGAGCATTCATTCCATAGTGTAAATGCACCAAGAGAAGAGTATGGAACTCCCAGGACTGCACAGCATGGCAACATGGCATAATAATAATCTTTCTCTCCCAGCTTTTCCATGAAACACAAGGCATAGACATATCGTGGAAGGAAGGGAAGAGTAGGAAAGGAAAGGACCAAGGAAGGCAGGCATGTAGCCAGGCATCACCCCCACCCCCCAAATTTGCATGGTGATCCACAAGAAGGCCTTACTGGTACATTATTTAAACTGTTATGTTTATTCATATCATGATCTGATCACCATGCTCAATATATCCCATATGAATGAGGTTATTGGGGTAACGATACAAAAGGTTTGCTAGGGTAGACCCTCTTTCACTGAGACTCAGCCCCCCCCCCCGAATCAAACTCGGCTCCCCCCGAATCAAAATCCTGGCTATGGGCCTGCGGGAAGGTTACTTTTTTAAAAAAGGAATTGTTCCAGCAAATTAAAAACTTAGTGAGCAAAAGGTAATGCTTTCCCTAATAAGGGAAGTTTTGGCTCCTCCCACAATTGCCCCTCCCACATATTGGGGAAACATTTCATTGTAAACCTGAGAGCAACTAATGCAATCACATTACAGAAATGTCCAAACATCCAGATGATTGCAAAAAAAAAAAAATCACTTCCCTACCACCTCATGAAAATTTTTAAAAGAATGCTGGCCCTCCCACTTAAAATATGCAAATATTCTATGCTACACTTGAAACCACACTAATGTGATGACAAAAATGGCTTCCCGGATTTTAAATCTAGCACTCTGTGGAATTTAGTAAATGTGATCAAGTGGTTAGAGAAAAAAATCCCTTACTTTGAACACTTGCAGCTCTTCAAGAATCACTTCTTCCATCGATTCTGTCTCTTGGTTATAAATTGTAATGACTTTCAGTACAATCCCATTATCTGTGAATTTAAAACAACAGAAATAATAAGAGAAAGTACTGCTAACAAATTTTTACTTGCCAGCCACGAATGTCTAAACAAAACATATAAGACAAATGAATGTATTTTCCATTCTATCTAAAATATGTGAAGCACAAATGACACTAGACACAAGAAGATGAAAAGTACTCAGTTGGCTTCAGTTGTTTGAGGCTGCATGTAAGTTATTAATAGATGTATTTTTATCCAGACATTTTGGATTACCTAGCACAGGATCACATTATGGTTTACCTTCCTTATAATCCTGTGAGTAGATTACTTGACTAAACCAACAGCACACAGCAAGCTTCCCATGGAAGTCTGAATCTGGAGAAAGTACAGGTTTACCAAAGCCCTAGAACTGAGAGTTAGTATCCTAGATATTGGATTAGGGATTAAACTGGGTTAGAGATGAATAAGAGATCTTTTTTTCCCTCCATGCTGGATGAGATTATGAGAATCTATTTACTAATTGCATTTTTGCAAAACTCATTTACATAGAAAATAACATCTGGTATCATGTTCAGTATTTATGAGACCATAGACTAGATTTACAATCTTGTAACCACTGGAGATTTTTTTTAAAAAAACAACTTTTATTAAAAATATAAATATATAACACAACCTACAAAACAAATTCTACAAATAAATTCAGACCCATTACAAGGTACTCATTATGGCCTTGAGGCCGTTACTGAATGCCTGCGTGCCAGCAGGTTGAGGGTGAATCCAGCAAAGACGGAGATCCTATGGCTGGGTCGACTGGGCAGTGGGGATATCCAGCTGCCTACCATGGATGGCGAGGCGCTATGCCCGTCATTGTTGGTAAAGAGTCTGGGAGTCCTTTTGGACCCTCTGCTGACGATGGAGGCTCAGATCTCCGCCGTGAGCAGAACCACCTTTTTTCATCTGCGGCAGGCTAGATGGCTGGCCCCCTATCTGTCCAGGGATGGCCTAGCTATGGTCAAGACTAGACTACTGTAACGCTCTCTACATTGGCCTTCCTTTGCTGGTGATCCGAAAGCTCAAACTGGTGCAAAATGCAGCTGCTCGGCTTCTTGCGAGAGCTCCGATGAGATGCCACATAACTCCAATCTTATTGCAGCTGCACTGGTTACTGATTGAGCACCGGATCACTTTTAAAGTGATGGTACTAACCTTTAAGGTCTTACATGGTCTGGGGCTGATGTACCTGAGGGACCGGCTCACCCCCTACCAACCCCAGAGATCTCTCTGAGGATCAAAATTTATTGGAAGTTCCTAGTTTTAAAACCTTGCATCTAACAGCAACTGGACGCAGAGCCTTTACAGCAGTGGCACCATTGCTCTGGAACACTCTGCCACCAGAAGTCCGTGCCTTGCAGAATTTATCAGCTTTCCGCAGGGCTTGTAAGACATATTTGTTTTGACAGGCCTTCGATCTTTGATATGTTGTTTTAAATTGTGTTAGATTCGGGTTTGTTTCTTGTAAGCCGCTCCGAGCCCTAGGGGAGTGGCGGCATATAAGTTTGAATAATAAATAAATAAATATAATCTGGTCTCCAAAGTTAATATCTAATTCAACCAAGTGCATCATTCTGTATATGAGCATGAATGCTTGGGGCTTGTATTCCTGGGTTTGTTGATTGATTAGCATAGTGAATAAAAGTAAACCAAGTTTCTGCAGCACCGTGGAAACATTTTGCTTGGGCTGCTGCCAGGATTAAAAGATGGGACAGAGAGAGGAGTGGGGAATGGCATACTCACTTGTAACTATGATGATGACAGTGATGACATCTGATAATGCAAAAGTTCAGACACTCTATTTTGCAAAAATATTTTTGCACAATCACATTCCATTGTATTTTGTGAGAAACAACATATTTTTGCACAAAATGCTGCATTTTGTACATTATGCAATTTTTGTGTAAACAAAGTTTCTACAAAAAAATTCCAAATGAGAAAAATGTGCCCAAAACCTTGTAATTTCTCAACACATCTTGAGATATTCTTTATCATCAAGGATGAGGAAATTTGCAAATTGTTTTATATCACCATATTGGCTAAACACTAGGCCTGGATAACAACGGAAAAATTTGTTTCTAAACTCGTTTCGTTTTTAGTGGTCCATCGCGTTTTGTTTTTTTAAAGAATTCCGAAATTTTCCTTTTAAAAATTTTGAAATTTATGAAATTTCGTATAATTACGAACTGATTCGTTAATGGCAGGTGCGATTACGCAATATGCTAAAAAAACCTCCAAATGGGACAGGGGGAACTTCTGAAGCTTCCCTCTCCCTCTGTTGTTGACTGTTGGTGTGATAAAACAAACAACAACTATAAAACTTGCACCAGACATGCGAAAATAATTATGAAATAATTACGAAATAATTTCGAAATAATTTCGAAATAATAACGAAATAATTACGAAATAAATTGAAAAAATTGTTTCGAATCTAATTTACTCCTCACACTATTCCTGCATGGCTCAATATTGGATCGTAAGCTAATTTAAATACAAATTAATAACGAATTACGAAATTAACGAACGAAACCGCCCAAGCCTACTAAACACTAGGCCTGGACGGTTTCGTTCGTTAATTTTGTAATTCGTTAAATATTCGTTATTTTTAACAATTACAAAACGATTACAAAACTTATTTTCAAACCCGGAAGTGTTTTTAAATATCGAAACGGCATCCTCCATCTTTTTTATGAGCTTCCGCCCGTTTCGGAAATGACGTTTTAGGGATGGAGGATGCTGGGTGCGCCGGGAGCCAATCCGGTGCTCCCAAGCACCGTGGCTCATTGTGATTGGGCGGGCTGCCCTTTAAAAGCGGCTCCGCGTGGCCGCATTGCTCATTGCGAAGGAGACGGGAGGTGCGGGAGGGAGGCTTGGTTGGCTCTTGGCTGCTTGCTTGCATTCATTCATTCATTCATTCATTGCTTGCTTGCATTCATTCATTCATTGCTTGTGCTTGCATTCATTCATTCATTCATTGCTGGGAGCAGCGGGGAGGCTTTGCCCTGTTTTCGCCCCACAACAGGGCAGGGCAAGCATTTTGTTAATTTTCCATAAATATTTCTGATAAATATTTCTTTTATTCTTAAAAAAATTCAAAAAATATTCTAAAAAAAGAAAAAAACCTTGTGTGCCTGTGTGTGTGTTTGTCCCTGTCCTGTGGCTGTGTTCGCTCCACAACAGGGCAAGCATTTTGTTAATTTTCCATTTTTAAATATTTCTGATAAATATATTTCTTTTATTCTTAAAAAAATTCAAAAAATATTCTAAAAAAAGAAAAAAACCTTGTGTGCCTGTGTGTGTGTGTTTGTCCCTGTCCTGTGGCTGTGTTCGCTCCACAACAGGGCAAGCATTTTGTTAATTTTCCATTTTTAAATATTTCTGATAAATATTTCTTTTATTCTTAAAAAATTCAAAAAATATTCTAAAAAAAAGACAAAAACCTTGTGTGCCTGTGTGTGTGTTTGTCCCTGTCCTGTGGCTGTGTTCGCTCCACAACAGGGCAAGCATTTTGTTAATTTTCCATTTTTAAATATTTCTGATAAATATTTCTTTTATTCTTAAAAAAATTCAAAAAATATTCTAAAAAAAGAAAAAAAACCTGTGTGCCTGTGTGTGTGTTTGTCCCTGTTTCACCCAGTTGTTGTGGCTGTTTTTGCCCCACTACAGGGCAATCATTTTGTTTATTTTCTATTTTTAAATATTTCTGATAAATATTCTTTTATTCTTAAAAAAATTCAAAAAATATTCTAAAAAAAGAAAAAAAAAACCTTGTGTGCCTGTGTGTGTGTTTGTCCCTGTCTGTGGCTGTGTTCGCTCCACAACAGGGCAAGCATTTTGTTAATTTTCCATTTTTAAATATTTCTGATAAATATTTCTTTTATTCTTAAAAAATTCAAAAAATATTCTAAAAAAAGAAAAAAAACTTGTGTGCCTGTGTGTGTGTTTGTCCCTGTCCTGTGGCTGTGTTCGCTCCACAACAGGGCAAGCATTTTGTTAATTTTCCATTTTTAAATATTTCTGATAAATATTTCTTTTATTCTTAAAAAAATTCAAAAAATATTCTAAAAAAAGAAAAAAAACTTGTGTGCCTGTGTGTTTGTCCTGTCTCGTGGCTGTGTTTGGTCCACATCAGGGCCAGTTTTTGGTTAATTTCCCATTTTTGAATATTTTCTAAAAATACCTGTCTTTTATTCTTAAAAAATTCAAAAAATATTCTAAAAAAAGAAAAAACTTGTGTGCCTGTGTGTGTGTTTGTCCCTGTCCTGTGGCTGTGTTCGCTCCACAACAGGGCAAGCATTTTGTTAATTTTCCATTTTTAAATATTTCTAATAAATATTTCTTTTATTCTTAAAAAAATTCAAAAAATATTCTAAAAAATTTGATTTGCGCATGCGCGGGGGGTCCGCCATCTTAACGAATCGATTCGTTAATAATAACGAAATTTCATAAATACTGAACTTTTTTAAAGGAAAATTTTGTAATTCTTTAAATAACGAAACGCAAAAAAACCCCAAAAACGAATCGATTTTGGAAACAAATTTTTGCGTTGTTACCCAGGCCTACTAAACACCCTTAGAGAAGGCATCTGTAACAAGCTTCCTCTTCCACACTATGTGTGACACATATGGACATTTTATTACAGTGAGTATAGATATGGAATAAATTATTTCCAGCTCAGGATTTATTCCTCATAAAATTTGCACAGGATATTTTTGTACAGAAATTCAGAAGTGTTTGCACAGAAAGCAACATGTGCTGTGCAAGGCTACCATATGTGAATTTTGTGTAGAATAGCGCTTGTACTGAAGGGCTTTTTATCAGCTCAGCATTCTTCCTCTCAGGGTTTCTTTACACTTGAAAAACATGTTCCTTGATTTTTTTAAAAAGTCAATATTCTTTTCAACTCTCTCTTTGAACTGGAGATTTTTCTGGCTTACAGTTCATACTAGATAATACCTGCATGTAATAGATTTTAGACCTAGTTCCTGGACTGTTGAGAAGCTTGAAAGTGACATAAATCAGATTTTAGCAGAATTCTATGTGTAGGAAATGAGTTCTAGAAGCAACGCAGAGGCTAAAGTTTCCAAGTACTTGAGTTAAAAAGCATAGTGTGTTGACCTACTACTACTGATACTTGAAATAAATCTTCAAACTGAGAAAGAAGAATCTTCCTAAACCACAAGCTTGAAAAGTAGAGTCTAGCTGAGCATAGAATGATACACTAAATTTTAAAGTAATTGAACATTAAAGTTATATTTCACTTGATCTTAGCTAAAAGGATCACAATAAGAGGTTACAATAAAATGATTTATTGCCATAAGAATGGAAGTGTGGTCCTGGCCATGCCAAGAAAAGGGAGCAAAAAAAACATATCCTCCTCATTGCCAGGCAATTAAAAAGTCATTTTCTAAAGGGGAGAAAGCCAGGAGCGAATATTGACTGGTAGGAAACAGGAACAGGGTATCAGCTAAGAGATCTCATATAAGGTCTAAAGGTAGCCAGTGCAAGGGAGAATCGGCAAAAGTTCTTAAGCTACACAAACAGTCAGAAAAAAGAGGCGAAAAAACAAGTACTCTTTCATTTACCTGTCCCAATAAATAAGACATCGTATTGCCCATCTTCTGCTTCTACTCTGTCTACTGCTATTTGTTGGAGTTTGTATTTCCCATCTGTCTTCACAAGCACTGGTTTCTTATGAACAGGCCTAACAGGCTGATACATCAAGGGATGGCTTCTCGCAAACCGAATAGCTTCATCTGGATAGTCTTTGGTGCTCCCATACAGCCCTCCATTCACTTTGCTAGCACACTGCAAAACAGAAAGCAAATAGGTTTATAAGATACTTATATTACTTTTAAAAAATGAAATTAACAATATAATAATATAACAATAATATAATTTCCTCTCTTTTTGTAACACTTTGTTACAGTATTATGACTGAACAGAATATATCAACCCACGTAGAGGGCATGGGTCCATATGCATTAGTCTAATCCTGATATTCCCATCTCTGCACTAAATATTTTCATGGTAAATAGAAGGTTATGAAGGTCTGCAGGCATCCACTTGTAGTAGCCCCTGCATGATTTGGAACCCTTTAAAGATCATGGCTACCAACTGCAAGAAGGATGAGATAATTATACTTTAAAGAGAAATTGAATAAATTGTATTCTGCTGCTGTAACCACAAAAATGTAGAAGGAAGAGGAAAGTTGGTTTTGTGGGTGGTCTGTGCTGATTTTGAGTTAGAAATGGTAAGAAATGTATAAGAACTGACAACTGACATCCAGTAGTTTGTCAGGTACTGTCTGGTTGTGCTGTTCTTTCAAACTTCGTGGAGACATGGTTCCCAAACCTTGGTGTTTTAAGTGTTTTGGACTTCAGTTCCCAGACTCTCTGTTCATTGACCAAGGAAGCTGAGTCTTCTGGGAACTGAAATCCAAAACATCTGAAGAACTACAGTCTGAGACTCAGTGATCTAGGGTTAAGCTCAATTACAGTGGGGGCATCTATGCTGACTACTTATGTCAGTTTGGAGTGAGTTTGAGAGAAACCAGTTTCACTGTGCATATGATTTACATTTACATGTCTGGAAAAGGTTTGAGGTCAGGATGGTGACTACTGACTACATTAACAATGGAAAGCGACCTCAAACAAGATCCAGAATTCACAGTATTTTATCCAATTTCTGGTTGTAATGTGCACCAATGCCTCAGAGACATGAAACCTCATCAGATGGTCTTTGGGCTCTCTTTCCATGTGTTTAGGAAACAGAGCCCCACAGAGGCCATCACGTGACATAAGGGCACTTCTGGTGGGACTCCATGGCACTCCATTACCTAAGTGCATGAAAAAAGAATCTGAAGACCATCAAAGCAGCAGAATGCAGGAGAAAGTGGAAGGTGGGGAAAGGTGTGGCAAGACATGGGATGGCTTGTCATCTAAGAAGATAGAAAAAGATGGGAGGGAATGGGGTAAGACAGGTTGGAGGGAATGGTGTAAGAACCCCATCTGATGAGGTTCAATCTATTATCTGTCCAGGGAGTAACTTAGTCCCAGCTGCCCGTGCCATTGGGGCATTTTTGACAGTCTCTTTGCTCTATCATTCTGAATTTTAAATGTGCTCCATTGTAGGAGGTGTGGTGAAGTGTTAATTTTAATCTGCAGTTATGTGTAATTATAGATAGGTGTTTAAAATGGTAAGTATATAGAATAGCATAACTGGGGGATGGTAGCCAGCTTAGCTCACTCTGTGCTGAGTTGTCATGGAAAAAGGGGCAAAGCCAACTGCCACTTGGCAGGGCAGCCATTTTAAAGCAGTTAGTCTGTAGTCAGCGAACTACAGGGAAGGTTGGTTCTCTTGTGTGTTGGGAACCAGGGAAAGGCTGATTCTACTGTCTGGAAAATCAGGAAGGTTTTTGCTTTTAGCCTGTGTAGTTTAGATAGGTTGAGTTGACTTATTTATATTATTAGCCAGTGTATGAGCAAAAGGGGGAGAGAACCCTAATAAGAATATTTACTGCAACAGAAATAACATAAGGAAAGAATAAGCTTGTACCTGAAGTAATCGGTCAAAGAAAGAAACACATTTTGAAGGAAAATAAGTTTGAAATCTGTTCAGTGGAAGGAATAGTCCTCTTAAGAGTTGTTTTCTGAAATGTATTAAATGTAACCTCTGAAGAAATGTGCCTTTAAGAGTTAAGAAACATTGAAACCATCAAGATTCTTCTATACTTCAATAAACTTGTTACAGTTTCTTCTAAAACCAAGTCTCTGTTACAAATACTTTCAAGTTAAGTCATGCTACACATTGAAGAAAGCACAAATCAATATTACAAGCTATTCGTTGTGTTATCAATTTAATAAGTCCTTACAAAGTGGTGGCCCCTTTACAAACCATTACAAACTGGGTGCCATCTTTACTAATTGGTGGCCTCATTACAGAGGGTATTAACAGTGCACTTTGCATTCTGCAGAGCCATTTTTGCTGTACAATATAATTTACATTCAGGGATCACTGATACATATTAAGGCATCTAACGTGGACTTCCCCCTGACTTTGGTGGCATGCATTTTGTATCAACCGCAGCTTGGAGTCAGCTTGAAACTGCTTAAATAGTTAGCACAGATGTGCCCAATGGAACTCTAAACACACCAACTCAAATGGTGGTACACCCAGGTATGTATGTATGTATGGAGGTACAGCTTGCTACTGGCAAATAGATACACTGCTATCCTAAAAAGGAAATTTTAAATACACTGCTGAAAGTACAGAATAAAGTTTCCTAACTTGCTATTGATTGCTCAGTTCAAACGTTGCCTCATGCTATTTAATTGGAACCATTTAGGATTTTGCTAGAACTATTTTAGTAATCATTTGTTTCCTCCATGGCTCTTGGAAGCAGTGTGGTTTAAGAAACATTTCAAGCACAACCACAGTAGCAGGCTTTCCCCATTTAAATTGGATTTTCAATCAATAAAGTGAAATAAAATACTCTTTATGTTTACTGGAAACATTCAGTCTCAACTTGTGGCAGAGCTGTAATTGACACTAATAAACTCCTGCACTTGTCAAATGGGGCAGTGTTTATTTTCCTTTGCTTGGGGCTTGGCTCCCATGAACTCTTTGCTCTGAGTTGGTTTTTGAAGTGAATTTTCTAATCAGCCGACAGTGGAATTTTCACTGGCTGCTTGTCATAAAAGTCAAATCACAGAGCTTTTTGCAGAAGCTCAAAGGTCTGGCAGCGCCAAATCCTGTTGAAAGATTCCAACTCGAGCACGATTTGAGGACATAATATTTAGATTTAAAGCTAGATGTTTTTAAAGGAACAGCCACTCTTGGTGTTTTAGAGAATAACTAGGCCATCAGCACATTGGGGGACAGGGATATTTATAGTCTTCTGGATTTGCTTTGGGATGGTGTTTTCAAATGTAGCACATTGGAAATCAAACAAAATGACTGATTAAAGAGAAGCTGACAGCAACCATAGACATTTTGGCAAACTCTAGTACGGAATTCTTATAGAATTTGTGGGATCAAGATATATAAATGCCAAATTTTCAGGGTTTTTGTATTCAGTTTCCACTTAGCCAAAGCAGGAATATTCTGACTGAAGAAGATAACATCACAGTACTGCTCCTTAATGGAATTTCAATGTAGGATTTGGACTTCAACTCTCAGAATTTCTCAGCCAGTATGCCCACAGCAAATGTAGTGGCTGAGGCTGTCTGGAGTTATAGTCCAAAAACAAACATTTTTAAATTATCAGTGAGATATGATTCATTACACTGGGGAAAAAAACAATATGATACAGTAATAGCTCCTGCATACCCGTTTCTTCTTCAAAAGATTTTATTTATTTATTTATTTATTTATTTATTTTGCACATTTCTACCCCGCCCTTCTCAACCCCCGAGGGGGGACTCAGGGCAGCTTACAAAAGGCACAATTCGATGCCAACAACAAACAATAAGATAAAACATGTATCAATAGCAATTATAAACAATTAAAACAAGCAAGATATATATCACAATCAATAAAACCAATCTAATGTTCAATGTTTGCCAGCTCAGAATCCTTAAGTTCATTCCACATTGTCAAATCCTATCAATTCTAGTTGTCATTGTCCTTTGTCTATCTGCCAGATTACCCAAAGGCCTGGTCCCATATCCATGTTTTTAGTTTCCTTCTGAAAGAGAGGAGGGATGTCGATGACCTGATTTCCCTGGGAAGTGAATTCCACAGGCGAGGGGCCACCACCGAGAAGGCCCTGCTCCTCATTCCCACCAATCTCACTTGTGGTAGAGGTGGGGCCGAGAGCAGGGCCTCCCCAGAAGATCTTAAACTCCGAGGCAGGACGTAGAAGGAGATGCGTTCAGACAGGTACGCTGGGCCGGAGACGTATAGGGTTTTGTAGGTCAAAACCAGCACTTTGAATTGTGCTCGGAACTGGATCGGCAGCCAGTGGAGCTGACATAACAGAGGGGTGTTATGCTCCCTGTATGACGCTCCAGTGAGTAATCTGGCTGCCGCCCGCTGGACTAATTGAAGTTTCCGAACAGTCTTCAAAGGCAACCCCACGTAGAGTGCATTGCAGTAATCTATTCGGGTGTAACAAGATCATGGACCACTGTGGCCAGATCTGACTTCATTTCTGGACCAAGTCATAAGAATCCTTCACATATTATCGCTGCCAGTGGTGGCCTCATCACACGGGACTAAAATTGGCAGTATACACTGATCTAGCCCCAGTCACCCATGGAGCCAGCCAACTCCCATCAGACAATGTCATGCCAGCTCCATGGATGAAGGAGGGCTGAACTGGTGCACCGCGGCAGCAACACAGGAGCTTTCCCACGTTGCCAACTACTTTAATGGGGGGAAGCCACATGCTCCACGGATTCACCATGCTCCCCCCCCCAAGGGATCAACAGCTGCAGGAGCTGGGCAATGTGGAGGAAGGGGCAGTGGCTTTCCTATCCCCCATGGCGAAGTGAAGTGAGGTGAGCCTTTTTTGGTAGCCTTGTGATTTTTTTTGGTCGTGTCAGGAGCGACTTGAGAAACTGCAAGTTGCTTCTAGGTGTGAGAGAATTGGCCATCTGCAAGGACATTGCCCAGGGGACATTGCCCAGGGGACATTGCCCAGGGGATGATTTGATGTTTTTATCATCCTTGTGGGAGGCTTCTCTCATGTCCCCGCATGGGGAGCTGGAGCTGACAGAGGGAGCTCATCCACCTCTCCCTGGATTCGAACCTGCAACCTGTCGGTCTTCAGTCCTGCCGGCACAGGGATTTAACCCACTGTGCCACCGGGGGCTCCATAACCTTGTGATGAGGCCAATGGATAAGGGTCACAGCTTGCCTGAATCACATAGTCATACTCCAGGTGGATGTAATCTACTAAGGTTCTATATTTTATTCAGAAATATTTTGATGAGCACTAATTCTGTCACCTGCCTCTCATTCCCCTGTTACTATCAGAATTTCTCTACTTTTTATTTTTAGGAAACCAACCCCCCCCTCCCAAAAATAGAAACAGTTTTTTATTTTATAATATACAAAATTATTTTGGCTCTTGCACTCACCGATCCCGGTCTTGGGTATGGTACTTTCCCTTCATACACAGACCAATGATATTCAGGTCCTTCTTTATGAGCATATGGTCCATTGAAAGCTGCCCGAATACTAGCCATGTGATAGACACATATAGCATATCCTCGAAATATGTTGCTACAGAATAGAAGTAAAAAAAAACCCAATAAGTAAAGATTCCAGATGTAATATAGCTGGGCAGATGAGTTAACCACTGAAACAAAGCATGGCACAGAAATATGGAAAACCAAATTGAATCCTTCTTGTCGTATATCATATATATTAGTTTTGGACAGGCATTCTTTAAAAATTCATTCAGTTTCATTTTAGGCAAACCAGCCTGATTTGGTCCAACCAAAATCTGAATGCAGTTATCCTTTATATGTTTTCTTTTTGCCTCTTTCCAAATGTCACTATCAAGTTGTAGTTTCAAAAGAAGTACACATTTATGTATTTAAGCACATGTTAAACTTATATGGATACAAAATACATATTTTGAAAAAAAATATATAGATGTTTATTTTAGGGTAGTGTATAAACATAAGCATTTGCAAAATTAGGCTTTTTTAAAATCATACATTTATGAAGAAATGGACCTGAATGGATTTGTTAATAACAATAAGCACAACTAGTTCAGATTTGAAGTTGATTGATCCATCCCTTCCTATTAGGCCTGTGCGATTTGGTTCGTTAATTCGTTAATTCGTTAATAATTCGTTAATTTTACCATTTCCGAAGCGATATTGAAACAAATCTCCAAACCCGGAAGGGTTTATAAATATCGAACCAGCAGCCCCCATAGTATTTATGAGCCTCCGCTCGTTTCGTTAATGGGGTGGAGGCTGCTGGAGTGCTGGTGCATGGGAGCCAATCCGGCGCTCCCAAGCAGTGCACCATGGGTCCGTGGCTGTCCCTTTTTGATTGGCCGGCGAGCCCTTTCAAAGCGGCTCCGCGCGGCCCGTAGCTTGGTGCAGAGGCGAGGGCGAGGGAGTTTGCATTGGGTTGGCTTGGCAATGGCTGCCTGCTAGCAACGAACTGGGATTGGATTCATTCCTTGCTGCTGTGAGTGCTGCTTGCTTCATTTGCTGTCTCTGCCTGTGTTTGGTCCACATTTGGGCCATTTTTTGGTTAATTGTCCATTTTAAAATATTTTTAATATTATTTTTTAATATTTTTTTTAATAATATTTTTTAATATTATTTTTTAATATTATTTTTTAATATTTTAATATTATTCTTAAAAAATATTCTAAAAAAGAAAAGACTCTTCTGTTGGTGTGTGCTCTCATTTGCTGTATCCTGCCTGTGTTTGTTCCACATTTGGGCCATTTTTTGGTTAATTTTCCATTTTAAAATATTTTTAATATTATTTTAATATTATTTTAATATTATTCTTAAAAATATTCTAAAAAAGAAAAGACTCTTCTGTTGGTGTGTGCTCTCATTTGCTGTCTCGTGGCTGTGTTTGGTCCACATTTGGGCCATTTTTTGGTTAATTTTCCATTTTAAAATATTTTTTAATATTATTTTAATATTATTCTTAAAAAATACAAAAAATATTCTAAAAATTCGTTAATATTTACAAAATTTCGTAAATACCAAAACTTTTTTTGGGAAAGTTTTGTAATTATTTTAAATATCGAAACAAAAAAACACCCCAATTACAAATCGATTTTAGAAACAAATTTTTTCTTGATCAAACAGGCCTACTTCCTATAGTTGGGACCTCATTACATTAACTGCTGGATTTGCCATGGATTGTGGTGAATCCAGTGAAGTCTGGTGTGGGGAACCCGTTGCCCCATGTCCCGCACTGTCCATCTTGCCACTCACCCTATGCCACAGGGGAAAGTGTCTGATGCCCAGCTTACACCATTGATCTTATGCAACACAGGAAGCTCCCAGTGTTGCTGCTGTGATGGCCAATGCCAATTTCATCTCTCTTCAGGCACAGAGCCCTGCTAGAAGTGGATCAACATTATGGGATGGGAGCCAGTGGGTTCTGTGCCAGAAGAGTGGTAAAAGCAGCATAGGACAGGCAATTTTACCTGTTGGATGGGGCTCCTAGACAGTATGATGTGTTGATGGAAGATGTTATTTATTTATTTATTTAGAACTTTTATATCCTGTTCTTCTCTACCTCCGTGGAGGGACTCTGAACAGCTAACAACAGCAAAAATTCAATGCTACACAATAAATAACATTTAAAAACATACATAATAAAAAAGTTATAAGAAAATAGAGGAACTACATGTGTGGGACATATAGGGTAGCTTTGCAGAAAGTTGCATGATCTACCTTCTTCTTCTGATTGGGTGACAGAGAAAAAATACTGCATGTAGCTGTCCTTGTCCATCATGGCAGCCAGAACCTACCCCCTCGGGGTGGGAGGGGTCCCACCCCAAGGTGGTGGAGTAATTTTAAATTGGAAAAAATGACCAAAGCAGAAAAATTCCGAATTTATCTCTAATTTGGCAGCCTGTGTTTTGATTCATTGATGCTTTGGATGGGATCTTCCCATGCTTCAATTCAGCAGTTTGTAGCTACAAATTGCTGATTTTTTTCCAAAATTCAAAATGATATCCAAAGTCTTGCACACCTCTCGTTTTTAATGAGCAACTAGCTGTGCCCTGCCACGCGTTGCTGTGGCCTTTAGTAAGAGTTTTGAAGTCTCTGCCTGGCCTCTCTTCCTTCCTTCCCTCGCTCTCTTTCCCTCTTTCTCTCTCTCACACTCTTTCCTTTCCCCTCTTTCCCTCTCTCTCTGGCATCCCTCCTTCCTCCCCCTTCTTTATGCTTGTGTGTAAACTTGAGTATTTTCTGTTGGTCATGGGGGTTCAGTGTGGCATGTTTGCCCCAATTCTGTCATTGGTGGGGTTCAGGAAT